GGCTGGCCGGCATGTGGTGCTGGGGGATCGAACCGTGGTCCCTGGGCTTTGCCAAGCTTGTTCCAAGTAGGTGCTTTAGACCACTGAGCCATCTCTCCAGCCCCAAGCTTTCTTTTTTAGTAAAGGGTAGCAAAACAAACAAGTTATCCAGGAAATTAATGACATATTGTAAAACACTGGTTTGCACATAAGTTGTCCTGCAGACATTTCTAATAAATTCTACCTTGATGAGCCAGCAACGTCATGTGCACAGCTGAGGCAATGGCGCACCTCTCGATCTCCCTCCCTGTCTCACGAGTGGGATTGTGGATGATCAACTCCCGAAATCAAGGAGTTCTGCAGGACCTCTCTTCTGCAGAGGACAAAAAGGCCAAAGAAACCCTCACTTCCAGTGAGATCAGGGAGATGTGAAATAGGGTAAATGTAAGAAATAGGGCAAAATTTTGTACAAAAGCACCAGCTGAGTAAGGTTGTAGCAACACGAGTGATGAATGTTTAACTACAGTGAAATGTCGTATTTCTGCAAAATTCTCAAAAGGAGGTAAAAGCTAGTGTTATGGAAAGGTTTCTTATGAAAGTTGCACAAAAAGAAAAAGATTTCATTGAGCTAATAAATAACAGTGACTCTGTTAGTGATAGTGAAAGCTGTCTTACTCAAAAGTCCTTTAAGTCTCATCTTCACACCAGCCATAGAAGTTTTCAAAGAAAAGTGCAGGTTAGTTTATTTTTCTTTATATTTGTATTATATTACATTTTGTAATCACTGTTACGTAGATAGTATTTTGGAGATGTGGAATGAATCATCTGAGTTTCTAATATTTCTTATGGGGAACATCGCTTTGATACACACATGCTTTGGATGACAAGCATGTTTCCAGAACAAGTTAGGCTCACAAACCAAGGTTTCACTGTATATAGAATCAACCAAGAAACTTCTAAATTTTAAGAGTAAAAATAACTATTATTGATATTAATGTATGTTATAAAACTAAACATTATAATAATGAAGACCAAGAAATTAAAATAGAAAAACATCAACAGATGAATCATATGGATATAAAAGTTCTGAATATTTAGGAGCAAAAGAAAGGCCTATACATATTCAAGATATCAAAGACAGTAATACTTATTATAAAGGGATTAAACCAACAGTCCCAATGCTTATGACACCAAGGAACAGATGTGTAGAAGACAGTCTTTGCAATGGATGGAGGAGAGGTGGTTCAGGAAGATTCAAGGGCATTACATTTATTCTGCACTTTATAATTACTACATTGTAACATATTACCAAATAATCACCCAACTCATCATAATACCGAATCTGTGTGAGCCTTGTTTTTCTCAAAAAGAGGGCCCCATCAGGGAGATGAGAAACATGTCTTAATTACATTTTCATTGCTTAGAAAAATAAGTGACACCTACAATTAGAGTGTTATGGTTGGTGTCTAGTTTTCCCCCAAAGCCTCATGCAGTCATCTAGAGTTTATGATTAATTCATTGTCCAGTGTTAGGCTCATGGGTGTAAGTGCTGCTGGGATTATGGGTGTGAGTGCTACACCCAGCCTGGGGCAGGGAGCCTGAATACAGCATAAGGGAGACTAACTTGCTCTCTGTTGCCATTGTTGCTGCTACTCCTTCCATTTGCTCTTTTTTTTTAAAAAAAAATTTATTTATTTATGTGTGTGTGTGTGTGGGTGTGGGTGTGGGTGTGGCCAGCCCAGCCCACCAGGGGGCGGGGTTGGCTGGCATGTGGTGCTGGGGGATTGAACCGCGGTCCCTGCGCCCTGCTTAGCTTAGCTTGTTCTAAGTAGGTGCTTTAGACTACTGAGCCATCTCACCAGCCCCTCCATTTGCTCTTGCTCTTTGCTGACATTTTGCTCTGTTCTGCTGCCATGAACAGCCACTCTCTGCCACGTGCCACTCTGCCTTGGAACCATCTGAGTATGGAATGAAACCTCCACTAACTGTGAGATAAATAAACCTTTCCTTCCTTAATTTTAGGTGTCAGGTACTTTGTCCCAGCAATAAGAGAAGAGTAACCGAGACAAGGAGGAAAGGTTTATTTTTATTTGTAGTACCACGGACAGAACTCAGGACCGTGCACTTCCTAGGCAGGCACTTACGTCACTGAGCTATATCCCTGAGCCTATTTTGGATCACAGTATGTAGGGCTTTTAGTCAATAGTTGATGGAGCGGCACTGCAGAGGAGAATCAGCTCATGGCACAGCAGGAAGCAGAGAAATCAAAGGAGGAGGAGGCAATACAAACTGTTCCAGGCCAAGCCCACAGTGACCCACCTCTTCCTACCAGGCTTTACCTCCTAACTTTACATCCAGCTACAAACCCATCAATGGGGCCGGGGAGATGGTTCAGTGGAATAAGCACTTCCCTGGCAAATGCAAGGGCCTGAATTCAATCCCCGGTTCCGGGGGAAAAAAAAAAAAATCATATTAGGGGCCTGGGAGATGGCTCAGTGGAATAAGTGCTTCCCTGGCAAGTGCAAGGGCCTGAGTTCAATCCCTGGTTCCGCAAAAAAAAAAAAAAAAAAAAAAAAAAAAAAAAAAAAAAAAAAAAAAAAAAAAAAAAAAAATCAATGGTCTAATCCAGTGATGAATATCACACACCCATGACCCAGGTTCCTGCAAAAGCTGCACCTATGAGCACAGAAGACTGCAAGATGTCTAAATTCAAACCATTTCAAGTGACCCAAAAGGGTGTTGCTATATCCAATACACTAAGTAATTTCACTGTAGAAAACCCTGATTTGCAGGCACAGGAGCCTGGAAATAGGGGCAGGCTTCTCAGTACTTTTGTGGGAATCTCAGAGTATTCTACCTTGACCTCAATCCAGAATGTAGGAAGATCTGAGTTCTTTCAAACATACAGAACTTTTAAGGCCAATGTTAATTTCTTTCTCAAGCAGTTGATATTCTAGTGCAGAGAAAGTCAGTTCACCTGGCTGATTCATAAATGGCTTATACATCATTCTTTCCAGTTTGGGGTGTTTTGTGCATATAAACTTGACACCTATCATGTGCAATTCACACGACAGTTATTGTTCCTATGAGAATGCAGTGCAGCCACTGACAAGAAGCAGAGCTCAGGGAGTAATGTGAGTGCTTGGAGAGTAGCTGTAAACAAAAGAAGCTTGGCTCGTTCTACCTGCTCACCTCCTGTCGTGCAGCCTAGGTTCTAAAAGAACAAGGACCGGAACCCAACCGTAAGGCAGGTGGTAGAGCTGGTGGCATAGCTCCGGGGCAGAGTGCACAGTTAGGATGGGGGAAGTCCTAGCTTTCACCAAAGCACCATGAAAGAATAGATGTCAAGGGAGGATACTGTTGGAAATACAGCAGAACAGGCAGTTACGGACTGTCCCTCTATGAACAGACATAATGAATGACCACCTAATAGCATTTCAGGATCCGCTGAGTCATAACTGAGTCAAGAAACTTCTCTACACTGCAATTCAGAAAGCATGCACACAAATACCGAGGCACACTGGGCACAGATCCTACCTTACACAAGGTGCTATCTAACTGGAGAAGAGCTTCCAACATAAGTAAGTCTTTCCACTTCCTCCTGCTCAAGTCCTCCTTTTATCTCACTTTTACCTTTTCATTCAAGATTGTGACCATAATTTGCACTTAATTTACTTTTTTTTCAAATTAATAACCTTAAAAAAAAAAAGCCTTTACTTGAGAGACATGATGGCAATAAATGGTATGTCATGACAAGAAGTACATATTTAGAAGACCAGGATGGCAAGCACTCCGAGCGTGACCCCTCTATTACACATTGCCATCCTCAGTGCAGCCACCTGGCTGCACTTAATTTACGTTAACATCCAGTATCACTAAAGCAAGGGCCATACTAACTATCAACACCGATTTTAACACCTTTTTTCGGGGATGACATCTTATACTTCTCAGCACAGGACATGGGAAGTGTAGAAATCCCTGCAGATCATAAGCAAATGTTTCTGATGGTGTTCGGAGGGCTCAAACATTGAGGGTAGTGCACTGAGGCGATTAAAGGCCTCAGATCCCTGCACACTGTTCCAGGCAAGGGCCCATAGCCTGAATTAGAAGAAACTTGCATTAGGAACTGAATGCACCAAATAACAAACCTTCTGCAACTGGGTACAGCTGTTAAGAAAGAATGGCTGTCATTTTAAGGTTGAAGAGGTCAGGGATACAAAACCAAAAACCCTTGTACAAGTTTATTACAGCATTTTGGAAAATAGTACAGTCTTTGAAAGCTAAAAACAAAATTATATTAGGGTTTAACAATCAGTGCTGGGTGTAGGTTCAACAGAGTGGAAATCAGTATGACAAAGCTACGGTTACACTCCTGTGTTCACTGTAGGTGAGACAGAAACCCATCAGATGCATTTAGATGAAGACTTATCAGACTGCAGAACCCTGTTCCAGGGCATCCAGGCTGCTCCTGGAGGAAAGGACCAGGGGCTGTTGTTCACTAGTCACTCTAAGAGTGGGGACATGGCAGCTGTGGGCACCTGCATCAGCCTCTGAGGTCAAACAATCCTGAAACCCCCTTAAAGACTGAGGTGAATGGCTGAGGACACATCCCCAGTAAAATTCCATGGGGGAGCTCAACCCAGACAGCTGGTAAGGTGTCTGCAGAGCGAAGACAGAGGGAGAGGCACAAAGATTTTCTAACAAGGCACCAAGTGCTTCTTGTCTGCTTTCCTCTGACGTGAAATGTTGAAATAAGAAAATTCTTAAAATGTGCCCTGTATCGGGACACAGTGGTATCTGCCTGTAATCTCTGTACTCCGGGAGGCTGAGGCAGGAAGCCTCCAAGTTTTCACTTGGCCTGAGCAATTTAGCAGCTTAGGCCCTTTCTCAAAAATAAGATAATAAAAAGGAGTGGGAGATGGAGTTCAGTGGTAAAGGACTCCAGGGTTCAAACGCCAGCAGGAGGCTGGGGAGTACTTGGAAGACAAGGACAAAACAGGGCTTATTGTTGAAATGCAGGAACTGAAGGCAGAGTTTATTAGAACGTAAAATCAAGCAGGGCTGAGCCGAGTTCCCTTAGGCTCTCAGGCTCGCTCCACTCAGGAAGCCAAGTAGGTGGGATTCCCCGCGATTTTCCGGGTTGCGACGCCAGACGGGGAGCCGGGACAGGGTCCAAGTCACTCCCAGCTTCAGGACACCAAGCAGAGTCCCAGTCTGCAGCCTTAGCCAAGGAGAGCTGGGATGCCTGGTCCCGCCGCACCAGTTCCCACAGCTCCTAAACAGCTGCACTCTCTGTTCTCAAGGCTGCCACAAACTCACCATTTTCGTGCCCTGATGTCCGGGCTCCTCCTCCCGGTGGTTCTCCCAGCACGAACGAGTGCCAGAGTCCTGGCACAGCCATTAGGGACTCTCATGGACACCAAACCGGAAACACAGCACAGAACCACTCTCAGGAAGAAAAACCCTTATAAGTAGCAGAGCCCACCCCTTCAATTCTGGCTGAGCGTCTGATTGGGTAATCCTCCTGCTCATCCTCCCACTCCCAGCCTGATTGACAGTAGATAGCACCAACCCTCACGGCTGAATAAGTCCCTGGAGTACGTTCTTCTTCGCTCCAGCTCCCCCCCACCCCCAAGCTGGGATCCAGGGGAAGCTTTAAAAAAGGGCATCGCTTTGTGGAGGGAAAGGGACAGGCTTAGAAGAAACTGGCATGCACACTTGTATATAACAGCATGTCCATTCACAAATTGTTTATGTGTGTATCATTTAGAGATGGGAAGAAGGTAATAATTTTTTT